GACCCCTGCAAATAGTGCTAGTGACTATTGTGTGGGGAATTCAGACACGACCACTGGAAATAGTGCTAGTGACTTCTATATGTGAGCCGTCTTGATCACGCGTAACTACTCGACGGTTGGAATCGACCATACATGCCGTTAATGGGTGAGTACATTCGGATGACTTTTAGGGGAATAACTCATACTTGCAATAATCAAAACAAGCCATTCTTGGACATTTGAAAATGCAAAGGGTACGGAGGCTCCATCACAACACTCGCCCTGATGTGAATCACACATATTCAACCACCCACCCACAGGAACTACATTTGACAACACAATAGAACACTACAGAGTGCAGAGGCTTTATCACAACACTCGGCCATGTTGTGAATCACACATAGTCAACCACCCACCCACAGGAACTACATTTGACAATGCAATAGCATACTATAGAGTACAGAGGCTCTATCACAACACTCGCCATGTTGTGAATCACACATTGTCAACCACCCACCCACAGGAACTCACGCCGGCGGTTGAGGTGCAGGGTAGTGCACGTACACGTACACAGACTCACCTGGGAGTTTAGAGCTGCGTATGCTTTGTACAGTGACGTCTCCCATGCTGAACAGTGACTGTGATTCACGCGGGCTGTCCGCTGGCTTGAGCTTGGTTTCACCCATCGACCCAGTACGCTCGATTATAGTCGTTCCTCCGGAATCCTTGGAACTAAGGGGAAATAAACGGGGTAGCCAATTTATAAGTGACAACATATAATATAAAGGTAATAGTACACGAGTCTGCATACATGTATGCCTGCCATATGTGCCATCAAGTAGTTCAATGATATGCACTGAATTGGCATACGTTTATACCTATACATCCCGTCAAGTAGTTCAATGATATGCATTGAATTAAGATCTGTGGCACCCTAAATGCATATTGTATACAAATTTCCTTTTTTAGGTACCGGGCGCTAGGCCAATGTAGAACTCGATCGGTGCCTGTCAATTGTACATTGTGTTCGTCTGCGTTACACGCGATTGCTTGCATGCAATTGAAGCCCACGTGAATCTCCTTGCACAAGTGCAAGTTCGAATATATTAATGTATATCCCTGGGTAGATATATCAATGTATATCCCTGGGTAGATATATCAATGTATATCCCTGGGTAGATATATCAATGTATATCTCTGGGTAGATATATCAATGCATATCCCTGGGTAGATATATCAATGTATATCTATGGGTTATCATCATCCTGACCCAATGTTTTTGTATCTATCCATGCTTAAATAGCTCTATACGGCTACCTCATACTCGGAAAACTTAGTTTTACGCATATAAGAGTTTTAAGTGTATATACAATTAACATACGATAAGGCACTCGGATTTCGCTTGAATAGATTGCTGATCTTCGACCCGGCCGTTCCTTTCTGTTCCTGTCACACGGTAGTTTCGAATATAAAAGGTCCTTACAGGGGTCAGTAAAGTGTCAGTAAACCGTGTATCAGGTGAAGCTGTTCAAAGCGATACAAAGCGGTACAAAGCGGTACAAAGTGGTACGTGCGTATGGTTGTCCAACGATGTGGTCGATTCTGTCGCAGAAATATGCACAACCTTCCTTTCTGACCAACTTCTAGTTGTGAGCATCACATGTTCTTGTCTGCGATCTCGTCTACAACTTGTATACACGCACTAGTACACCCACACTCACCCGCTTGCCCTTCTTCTGCATGGCCTCCTCCAGCAGCTTCTGCTGTTCCATGTGTGGCTCCATGGCTAAGAACTGTAGCTCTTGATCCGTCAATGGGCCCAGCACTGACGTCAAGGACGGGTCTCTACTAGGCGAAACACTCCCGCCCGCCTGATCCTTCAGATTGAGTGGGGACGGTCTACGCACAGGACAATGGTGTGTTAACAAGCAGGAAAGACTGGGTAGTACGGTGCGGATGAGGTCGGAATGGGATCAGCTGGTTGGTGTGATCTTTGCATGTTCAAAAACTGCATCGAGACGTACATTTGTACCGTCAAGTGGATAGGTTAGCTAATGTTTACATATATGAGCATGTTTGTATTGTACGCGGGTGCGCATTTTGGCTTTAATATAAAATCGATCGTACATGAATCTGTGCGTATTCATAAATATACAACGATTCGTTTTCTGATCATTGTAATATGTCTCCTTACACGATACCTAATACTTTCACGAGACGAGTATAAATTCGATTACTAACCTCTAAGCCCAATTTATCGCTTTCTGAAGATCACTAAAAGATAAGAGGTCGGTGCGATGGAGTTTTGGATTTTTTGTGTGTAGTGCACTTCCTAGGCCTGTTGTGATTGGCTTCCAACTCCCGACACACCTTCATACAGGTTAGTTAATGAAACCCACGTACATACGCTTTCCATAGTCTAAGCTAAGTAGTTCCAATCTAATACTCGCAAAATACACCCCACTCACTCTCTAATCTCTCCATCAAAATTTGAATGCATGATGTACACGATGCAAGCCAAACAAACCAGTATTCCAGATATGTCAGAGACGTCGTCGGTTTCGATATAGTACGGTGCGTCACAATCCAGATTCCAAAAAGAAAATGATTGAAACGGCACGGCTACACAACCATGAGCAAATACACACACACACACATACATACATACACATACATACGTACACACACACAATTACACAAACACACACACATATATCTATATATATATATATATTACCCGGGTGTAGGTGCCCCTAACCTGATGGGGTCAGGGCTGTGAATGTGCATTTGCCCCGGACCTCTCTGATGCGACGCTACTGGCAATCCTGTTTGTGCCGGCGTTATTCTATCTCGATCATCGAGTGTGCCCGATGCTTGACTGGAATCGAAAACAAATACAGCAAGTTGTGTAAGATAGGTAAGTTGAGTAAGATAGGTAAGTTG